ACATTGAACCTTATGGGAAAATTTGATTCAGGTCGCGACCAAAATCGGTTGGCGACCAGAGTTGCGGAACGAATTAAGTTCGTGACCTGAGGTACCACTGTATTTGTAAGCCGCCCAGAGTCATCAAGGGGTTGTGCGGCCTCAAAATCTGATAAATAAGTAAGTTAGTGCATTGGTCCAAGCCCTGCTGCTTCTGTAGTGCATATACTCCAAAAGGGTGGGGCTTGAATCGCATTGCCACACCCCCCTTCTTGCAGATGTTGAGCCCTTGCTCCTCCAACAGATGCTGCTGTGCACAAATGTAACATGTCTCCCTTACACATATGTTAAAAGTACAGACACCTAAGTTTGGGTTAGGAATTGGTAACTCCAAGACAAGAAGAATTCAAGACTTTACATGACAAGTGAATCAAAGAGCAAATACCAAGCAGGAATGAGAAGAATATGCACTTTATTCTGAAGGCTGGCACAGAAATCATGGATTTTTCATTTTGGATCTAGTCACAAGTTGTGCTAGATAATGGTCTAGCACAACTTTCTCCAACCTGGTACCCTCAAAGACTTCAACTTTGGCCATGCTGGCTCAGGATTATGACAGCTGAGACTGAACACATCTATAAGATGTGGGAAAAGTGATCTAGCAGTGGACCACGAAGCCACAGGTGCTAACTTCCTTATCCTTAATGCCATATTGCTGAGAGGATGGTTTTGAAGTGCTAGGAATCATGAAGGCTGATGGTACTACAGCTCCCTTACCCAGGGCTCAGAGAGAGGCCTTGAGTCAGGTAGCTGCAGCCACCCCCATCTTCCCCTTTTGTCCTCACAATCTCTGGGCCTTACAGTTACTGTCAGACAGAAGAATTCAACATGTCTGATGACAGAGACTGACTCTTGCTCTGCCAACAGTCCATTAGATAAAGAGGCATTGCTTTTAGGGTGGTGTATATGTAACGTATATTGGCGGTCCCATAGCTTTGATGATGGAGCACAAAAATCAAGGTTGTCTTCCCTTGTCATTGGCCCTTACAAACATTACTTCTATGAAATTGCTGTTTGACCTGCAATTCAAGTGAGACTTCCGTTAGCATCAATGGGAGCTTCGTTTGAAATGGCAGACCCAACCTTTAAAGAGATGAAGCAGGCCAGGACAAGGCAGACAGATTCCTTTCCCCTGCTCTTAAACTGAGTCCACACAAAAGAATGCCATATCTAGGTTGCTCTTCAGGCATCATGGAAAATGGATGGAGATGATGGGAGGCGACACATTTCTGCTTTTAGTCCTCTCATGTTAATACCAGTGGAATATTCCAGCCATACTTCAGAGACAAGTTGTATGTCTAATACATGTAATATTGTGAAATACTGATTTAAATGTTTAATTTCAAGCCCTCACCCATGGCGTAGTATTCATAAACAGTCACTGTTCCTGGCTGGATTATTCCCACTTCAAAGTATTGACGTACTTTAAACCGCAGGCACTCATGCTGTGTGTTGGACACCTGGAAATATGAGGATTCACAGAGAGAGAGAAAGAGAATGAGTTCCTCAAAGTTTGTCTTGGGGCTTCAGGAGAAGCTTCTTTCATCCCAGCTGCAACTTGACCTTCCAAACTGTTTCCCAGAGGATATCTCGTCATCTGGACCAATGCTAGCCTGAATTAAATTAATGTTGGTGGAATAATTAAAATGTGTCCTAGATTACATGTCCTTGCGTTTAATTATTGGAGTTTTGTGATTGTCAAAGTTAAATAATCCAAGTGTAGAAAGATCACAATTCCTTTCTCAGTTTGAAGAACTTTTATGTTTCAGATTTTTCCTGTAAATCCTAGCCTGTAGTCCTCCAGGTGTTGGTGGATTCCCATGCCCATAAGCCAGTCAATATGGCCTATGATCAGGGATGATGGGAAGTGTAACAACTTCTAGAAGGTCATAGAAGGTCTGTTTTATCTTCCAGTAATTTAAGAACATGTCTTCTTGGCTGGCCAGTGAGAATTTTTAAAATATTCTTCTAAAATATTTATCAGCAATAACAGCTCTTCTCCCTTTTTACAATTTTGTGTGCATAAGATATTGCTTAGTTATGGTTGTTCTTCCCTGCATGGTTGCAGGTTCTGCTTGCTTTTGCAGTGTGCTTGCCTTGTTCTTACAGCAAAGCTATCAATGCTTGACAAGATGAGGAGTTTTGTTTATTAGCCTGATTATCTCAGAAACTGACACTGTTTAGACTGAGGGGGAGTGACTGGCTCAAGGTTACCCAAGTGTCTTCCATGCCTAAGGGAGGACTAGAACCTGGGTGTCCCCATTCCTCATCCAGCACGTTAACCACTACACCAAACTGGCTTTCCATGGCATTGCTTAGCAAAAATAAAGATCTGGAGAGAAATAGAACAATAAATTTTACCTTGTCCAGGTAGAGGATGAGAGAACCCTTGCTGGAGAGGATATTGTTCATTTCATACCTGGATATGTATTTGTCAACATGGTTTGTTAGCTGCTCCCAAAGAAAAGAAATCAAATGTTAAAAGTACTCAAGTGAATAGTCATGACTTCCTCCAGTCCATCCCAACAAAATATTGTCCCATCATACCCTTCACTTCCCCTTCTTAACAGTCTTTTTAAATGGCTTTGAACAATTTCACTCCATCCAATGGCTATGCTGTTTGGGGAGCTGAACTCCAGCACATTTGGAGGGCATGAAGTTGGAGGAGGCTGGGCAATGCTAATTTCTTTAAGCAGAAGCTAGAATGGCTATTTCAAGATGTTGAAGCTCAATTATTTTATAATAAAGGTGCTCCCCTTTGAAGGTACAATTTCTGTCATCTTACATGTGGCTGGCTATTATATCCAAACAGTTATTCAAAATCAGTACACCAGAAAGCAAAATTAACAGCATAATTCCACATGGCAGGATTGGGGCATCTTTCAGTGACAGGGAATCACATTTAGTATTTGGGAGCAAGGGTTATAGTGGGTCAGATGCAAAGAAGTGGAGTTATATTACACTGATTTTTTTCCCCATAGGACTGATCCCTCTGACAATTTTAGTGCTAGGTGGAAGCAATATCTCCTTGATAAATTGCACTTTTATGGCTTTTCACAAGAGGCTCTCCTTTCTTTGAGACATGAACAAGCCAAGAGAACTTTAACACAATGCATTCTGGATGTGGAAAGATGACAAGACCAGCCTCTGCTGTCCAGGAATGTTCTCCTGAGCAGCCAAGCAGACTGGCGCAATACTTAAAAAATATTACAGCATCCAAGCTAAGAAGGGCTTTAACACTGGCTCGATTTAATGCTCTTCCTTCAGCCATCTTGGAAGGCAGATACAAAAAAATTCCATATGCTGCTTGATTATGTCCATGTGCTACAGGTCCCATAGAATCTATTGCCCACATTTTACTGTACTGCTGTTTTTATTTTAGAATCTGTTTTATTTCCCCTCACCTGGTAAAATACCCAAGTCACTCTGATACTTTCTACATACTGTACACATTGTTTTCCGATCGAAGAGACTCTACCTTTCTGGATGTTGCCAAATTCTGTTATGCTAATAATAAGATAAAATTCAAGCTGACTAATTCTCATCCCTCACTAAAGTGTAACTGTGGCTAACTTCTGAACACTAAATAAGTAGGTAGGTAGATAGATCTAGATAGATCTAGATCAGGGGTTCTCAAAGTACGGCCCACGGGCCGGATACGGCCTGCCAGGGTCATTTATCCGGCCCACCTGCCTGATTGGCTGCCGCTGCTGTCTGTCAGAAGCAGAAATGTCGGGGCTGTGTCGGGAGCTGCAGGTGATGCACGAGGAGGGAGATCGCAGAGCCGGACTATTCTACGTGACAGGTTTGCCGGGTCCGGCGGCTCTCCTCCTCTCCTCAAACTATAGTCCGGCCCCCCAACATTCTGAGGGACCATGAACTGGCCCCCTGTTTAAAAAGTTTGAGGACCCCTGATCTAGATAGATGTCACTTTATTTTATTTTAACCTACTTCTATCTGAGAATTTTAGCTTTATGACTAACTTTAGACAAGTAACATTCTGTTTCTTAGTTCTAGAGATGTAGCTTATAGTGGTAATAATAGAGACAATTATTCTTTTAGCTTGTGTTTTATATCTGGTCCTCCTCCTCTTTTACTTTTAAACAGTTTAATTGTTTTGTTCTATATGGGTCTTTGACCAAAATAAATCTTGAGTTGACTTGACTTGGCTGTTCCCCTAGACATTTGGGGCAGGAGGATGAGCAAGCTCTGTAGCTTAATTGTTTTTTTTTTTAATTATACTGATTAGGCAGGTGAGATTTTCTGTAATTCCTCCTCTTCTGGTTTGGGGTCGTTTTCATTATTTTAATGTATGAGTCCTATTTTAACAGGATTCCTTTTTTTCACGTTCTCTGTTTCAAAATGGCAGGAAATCAGATCGCTGATTTTCAATGGCTGGGAGGAATCAGAGGGCTTCAGACAAGAAATTTCAATCTACTGGGGCAACAGATAGTCCACCCAAGCTGTATAGCACCAGTCAAGAGTAATTCCCATACTCTGATTCTATATCTACACTGGATAGAAGCCAAATTCTTAGCCTCTGATTTTTATGAAAAATATGAAAGTTGAACACAGGGAGCAATTTTGAATATATAGTTCAAGGCATCAAGAGAGCAGATCTGGTCATATTTTACCAAGAATATGACCAGATCTGGTCTACAGTTACCAATACTGCTGACCACTCGTCCTGAAGGGTAGGTCTAACATGGTAGGGCCACCATATCTGGGCTGCAGATGAACACTAATTGGCACAAAGAGTTAGAGCTTTCTGTATCTCTCCGCTACTGTCTAGTGGCTGTCCAGATGCTTTCAACCTTGTTATGGTAACTTTAAATATGAGTTGGAATCCAAAATATGGGGAAATGAAAAAGAGCCCAATCCAGGTGTCCTATTTAGCCCAATCTTACAAGCCCTTCGTCATGCTCAATCAATAGTGACCTTGGATTTGACTAAAGATGCCACACCTTTTGTAAGTCATCCTTATCTGGAGAGAATCCAGTCAGCAAGGAGATATCAACAATGGTCATGGTGGCATCAGTGTCACCCAGGTATCTATCAGAGAAGAAGATGAGTATTAACCAGAAAAAGAAGGCATGCAATTATAGCTGCTGAAGTTTCATCATCACTTTGAAAATCCCTGTAGTTATAATGGACATGTAGACATTGGAACAATGAAGCAGAAGTTTCAGCTGTACATAGCATGGGAAAAGGGGCATAAAACAATAAGGCCAGTCAAGGCATCTTGCTGTTCTCATCAGACTGACAAAAGCAGTGTCACACGGTGGGGCATGTATACAACATTGGGCCACACCTAGAAGAGGGACAGGGCCTGTAAGACAATGCCATGACACTGCTTTTGTCAGTCTGACCCAAATTTACCCTTTGGGATGGCACTGAAGCTCACAAATAGTTGAGCTTGTGAGATGAACCTCTGAGATCATGCTTGGGGAAGGTTTGTTTATGTTCAAAGATTGAATTCATCTTCATAACATTATATTCTGCCAGGTTGAAGTTTCCATCGTCTCCAAAAAGAGCAGTGAGGAAATTGGAAGCCATTGCTATGAGAAAGTGCACCCGGATTATGCACATTTCTTATTAGCCCATTTGAAAAGTAAGAAGGCATATCTATGAGATTGCATCTGACTCACTGTATGCAGATCTCCATGTCCCTCAAGCCCAGGGCTCCCTCTGGCTTCTTAACTGGAAAGGAAGATGGAAGTAGTTGAGAACTCAGTAGTTCCTGAGTGCTAACTTAAATTAACTGTATAAGCCACATACATAAGGGCACAAAAATACAGTGCACATTCTGAGATATGTGGCCTCACAATGCTTGCAGTGATCACATGGGAGTTTAAGAAGCAATGCAAGGATTCCAAGCAGAGATCTCTTGTTGAGAGCTGTTCCTGTATCATAACAACATAAGAACTTCCTGGAATTCATCTCTAGAGCCAGAGCAGCTACTGGGAGATGCAAAGCATCTTTCATGACCCTGCTTAAAATTTTTCCTGCGTAACCACTCTAAGTAATGCCTTGAGAGCACCAGGAAGGTCCTCAGAGCACAGTGATATAATCAAGATCCAGGCATAGTGTTAGGACACATTCTACAAGGAAACCAAGTACTCTGCTAGACAGTTCAGCACGTCTGCTGTAAGAGGCCATTATTTAGTCCATATTGAGGGGAGCTTAACTGAATATTTGATGCCATGTCTCTCAGCATATCGCCACATCACTCCACCTTCCCGTAGGAAACAGGAGCAAAGCCAACCTCCTTACCAGTGGTCTTTGTCAGTGAGACAGTGACATGAAACTTCTTGCAAAGAGCCATGTCTTCAGTCAGAGGGGCGTAATACACTCTCATGACCTGTCCAAGAAGGAGAAGGAGGGTAAAATGGCGAAAGTACCCCAAACCCAAGGAATTAAGTCCTAGATGGCACGCTATCTTACTTTTCTCATGTATATAGAAGGTAAGGAAGATGATTGTGATGGAGATAGGCAAGGTCTGTTACCAAAGTGACAAGGGGAGAAACATATCTTAAGTCCACAAGAAGCAGAAAATATGTGGAAGAGGCTCAGACAGAAACCTCCCTAGTTCACATGAATATAGGAAGGGGAGGAGGGACAGCACAATCAGACTTGCAAGATTCTGTTATTACAGCCAATCTCAATAAAAGTAGTTTCAGCCTTCCTGTGGAGTTGATTCCTGGTCTGGTCTGCCTGGTGGGGCTGACAACGATCTTGCAAGTCTGATTGTGCTTCTAATTCTAAATTCTTCTAATTCCAATGTAGAGGATACTCAGTACAATTCTGGATGTTCTAATTGTTTCAGACTTTTTAAAAAAATGGGCCATGATGAAGAGACTCATGTTGACATGCAGGGAATCATGAGCCAACCAGGGCTTGTCTTTTTGAGCCAATAACCAAGTGCTGGGGAGGTCTTGTTAATTGGGGGCTGAAACTTGCTTTCTTTCCCAACCCTTCAGCTTTGGCTACAAACACTATCCCTTTCCCCCACCTGCACATTTCTACTGATTCAGAGTTCAGCCTGGTAGTAAGGAGGTAGACTAGGCTTCTAATGCCTCCCATCTTGCATTGAGGATCCTTTCTAGCTAACACACCAATAGACTGGGATAGCAAGTATATTGGAGTAAGCTAGGCATCTCCTCCTGTACCTCCCTATGCGTGTAAGACACTAACTTGCTTCTGTCTCTACAGCCACATTCATTGCCACAAACAGACTTTTCCCATCTGCAGGAAAACCTGGCAGTAATTCAGCTTCATGCCAGGATGGCGTAGACCTGATGTTGGCATCCTGGGTATGGGAGAAGGGTGGCAATTGTACTCCATTAATGGAGCTACACCCAATCTAGAAAAGATGTCACTCACCGATAGAGTTCCTTTTCCTGTTCCACGGGCAGAGACTGTGAAACCTTCAGTGCTTTTAGTCTGCAAAAAGGTGGGGGGGATGGGGAACAAAGGTGTTTTTTTTAAACTGACTTGAGTTCAAGAAATTCTTACATTGGTTGGTCTTTAAAGATTTAATTAATTGGTTCTACATTTCAAAGACCAAATCAGTCTTATGCAAAGTATCCTATGCAACTGAATTTAATAAGGGATGGCAATTCATCCTACTTTTCTAGAGACCGGCTAATTTTAAAAGATAAATCACTTTTCTTTCTATCTAAAAAAAGGGGCCTCTCATCTTCTTTGTTGTCTGAGGGCTTCTTCCCTTCTTTGCTTCTTTTTTTTTTTTTTCCAGAATAAAAAGCCTTGCTACTTTATAATGTTGCTATAAAGTGCTATGGTGCATTCTGTCCAATGCTGTGCTGGGAGCAAGACTTTTTTATTGGGCAAAAAGAAAAGAACTTTGGGCTAACTTGTATGCTAACCTTAATTGTCAGGTTTGCTGAGTTCGTTCCCAGTTCCTATCCTTCCTCAGTTGCTTTGGGACTGAATTGCTGTCCTGATTGTGAAAGCGCAGCCCATGACAGGCAGCCCCTAGGCTCCTTCCTGTGTGCCCCCCCCATCTGTCATTATCATCTGAGCTCAGTAAAGTTGAAAACAAATACTGTAGGTCAGAGTCACAAGGAGCTGAATCACAAGCAGCATTTTTATTTAGGGTTTGTCTTCCCTTCCTTTCTTTACTTTATATAGACAACAAATGCCACTTTTCAAATCCCTTCGTGTTCTGTTTGGGAGGCAAATAGGGGTGGGGAGGTGGTCCTATCATTCCACTATTACACTGCATCAGCCTTGTGTTAAACCATAATGTTTAGGCACTTATACAACCGCCCCTGAGCAATCTGGGGCTACTGCTCTAGCAATACTGCTAGAGAACCATTTAAATATACCAGCTGCCAATTGGTTCCACCATTCTTGGCTTGCAGGCTTGTGGCAAGGCACTGTTGGCATGCAGCTAGAGGGGCATTGCCAGAAGGATGCCAAGAGAACCCTGGCATTAACAAGTGCAGCTCTACTGCTTTTGCATGCATCGGTGGACTGACTCCGGATAAGAGAGCTTGATTTACTTGGCAGAGGATTGCCTTTTGTTCCTTCTTCTCTGCCTTTATGGGCTACGCTATTTGGAGCAAAGAATGGTTATGAAGGGCCACAGATATCATGGGAAAGGAGGAATCTTCAGCCTTGTCATGGTCCCACCTGTCATTACCTGCTCTGTCCGGGTTAACATAGCATTTTCGTGCTGGATCCGCCAGTGGACTGAATCACTGCAGGTTGGCAGCATAATAGTAATATCTAAGAAGTCATCGTCACGCCTGCTCTTTAATGCAGACATCTGGTACTGAGCTAGTGCCTGGAAGACCATAATTGTTGCCTGCAAGGGAAAGAGACAGTGTCGTGAAAGGCAAGGGACACCTTCCTTCCGTTGGAATAGTAAGATTAATATAGCATGTTTATGACATGCAAAGGGCATCACTGCACTTAACCTTCTCAAGAGCATTATTTCCTCTTAAAGTCAACTAATAACTTCATGATGGGGGGCAGAGTTGGAACTATGCTTTCTGGCTTGCTGCTCAGTCTTACCCCAGTGCTTGTTATTTTCCCCCAGCAACTGAAAGTCATAATCCCAACGTTTCTTTTCTGAGATATTGAAATAAATGGTCCTGTGAGCATTATGGAGAAGGTGTTCACAGATATGGAAATAATCCTCTGCAAAATGCATTCCTGATGGTACAAGATGGATTGCAGCATTGCATTTGATGCTGCTCTGTTCACTTGGTATCTCCCTGCACTCAAAGTAGTACAGTATCTCCATCCTTTGGCAGCTAATGAAATAATTGTGTGAAATCCTTGTCAGTTCCTGTTCCTACTCATGTGAAAACAATTTGAAGGATCCTGTTGAGACATGGAATTTGTATTTCGGAAGGAAGTTTGCACACTAATAAATACATGCTAATGGCATCTTAATGGGGGGAAGTGAAGGGGAGAACCAAAATAAGAGTCTTTAACCTAATAAATTGGTTATTTATTTCTATACAAAAATCCAAGGAGCCTATTTCTATGAATAACACCTCTCCTGCCATTTCTGCTCCCTCCTAGCTTGAGCATAAGAGGAACATTTCACAGCAGCCCCAAAGTGACACATAAGAGTCTTGCAAGATGAGCTGACCTGGGTTGAGCCATAGCCACCTCCGTAGAACCTCTGCTCTGTCAGCCAGCGGACAACGGGGCTGGCTAGGTCAAGCCTGTTGATCTGGAGGAGAGTCAGCAGGCCATAAGATGTAGCCTCAAGGGAGTACAGTTTGGAGCTGGGGTCAGGCCAGTGGGTTCCTGTGCGGAGTTAGAAGGAACAGTCATTGTGCACATCAGTCTCTCTGACTAATTAGTATGTTTCTTCATGTACCTCAAGAATATTTTAATACAAGTCATACAATTTATAAAGTTTGAATGAAAACTACAATGTATTTCTATTTAAGACTATACATCTATAATTCCAGACCACATCAATTAAAAATACATAATTTACAGCTTACAGCTGCAAGGATAAACCTTGCATGACATTGGAAAAAAGATATAGTATCAACAACATCAGTTTGGGAACTTATACTTAGAGAATATGTAGCAATGGAGAATATGTTTGTGTGTGTATATAAAGCAAGAATGGCTTCCATACATATTACAGATTATGTAGCAAGGGAAATGCAAACATTTAGAGTATGGTTTCTAAAGCTTATGCCAATAGGTACTGCGAATTGGTTGGAGTACCAAGGAGGAGGAAGTCAGAAATTAAATATTTACCTATATTATTTTTTAGGATTTTTTCCACATTTTTCTTTTTTCTTTTCTTCTTTTTTTAACATTTATAAACAAAACGTATATTTTTTTATAACATTAAAACGATTTAACACACTCTGGCATATTTTGCTAATGTTATAATTGTATAACCTTATTAATTATCTGTTTATTCAGCATTTTTTTTTCAAAAATACATCTTTGCTTTCAATAAAATAAAAGGATTATAACAAGACTAAAAATAAATAAAAGAAGCACAGAGCACTATTGATGTACCTTTTAAAAGAGGGAAATGAATATTTATCTCTATCTCTATTGGTATATGCTCTATTATTGTTAAATAAAGTTTTAACTGTTTAAAAAAACATACATCTATATATTCATGTGTGTGTATCTATACACATATCTGTGAATGTACACTCCCAAGTTTCTTTGCAACTTGCATTTTTTAACAAGTTTGTCTTTTCGTATTGCAGAAAGAAAAATTAAACTCTCCTAAATTAAAGTTTTCCTCAGAGCTATATACATTTTCCCAATGCAGCTTTTAAATCTAAATTTAAGTGATTTTTAGAAAATAACAACTGCTTCTTGAACACCAAGAGCATGGTGTTGATCTCAAATGCTGTTGTTTGTGCTACAGTGAAATCCATTTAGGTTGGATCCATTTTGTTAATCTGCCCTGTGATGGATTTCTTTGACATGTTTCTTTGGAGAGTCCATTTGGGGTCTTTGGAAGGCTTCCTCATCTCAGTAGCTGTGCCAGAAGAGACTCACTCACCTGTGAAATGGTCAATCAGCTTCTGGGCGTCTTTATTTCTCCCCAGCAAAGACAGCGCGTAAGAGGTGATGGCAATGGAGTAACTCTTCTGCAGGGTCTCCAGTCTCCCAGCCAAGTACTCTCCTGCCTGGCTGATTCTCATGTCCAAATCCTGTAAGGGGACAAGTCCGAGGAGTCCAGATCCAAAAGCAGCTCCAGACCAGGGTGATCCTGTGACACTGGCAGTGTTTGAGAGCTGAGCTAATTTATTTCAGGCTCTGTTGCTCAGAACTTCAAATCACAGTCAACCTAAGTGTATATATGGGCCACCATATTTGGGCTGCAAAACCGAAATGACCACTAGAGGGCAGCAGAGAGATAGCTAACCCTTTGCTATCATCTAGTGCAGCGGTTCCCAACTTTGCTATGCCCCACCCCTAGGACATGTTTGATTAATGTTCGTACCCCCTATGAAACTAATATCATGTCTGAAGATGAAGAAGTCTAATTTCTAATTTTTGAACCACAAATTGAACCACATACAATACTGTGGGTGAACGAATTGAACTTAAAAAAAAAAGTTTTTAACTCAGTGCATAAAATTGTCACACCCCCTGAAATTCCATCTTGCACCCCCTGGGGGTGCAGGCATCCCAGGTTGGGAACCCCTGATCTAGAGATTTCTGCACTTATGCAGCCCAGGTATGGTACAGGTTAGGGTTCAGGGCACTCTCACTAAAGCAGGTTGCCGTGATTTTCCCGGGTGTAGCTTGCCACATTT